TCCCCTCCCCTCTGATATTTTTTATTCTTCTTTTTTTTTTGTTTTGTTTTTCCTTGACCTTCGCTTTGTTTGCTGTTCTGGAGCAGGGCTGGAAAGCTGCTGATTCAGTTATTTTGGTTCCTAGCAAGCCCAGCACAATTGCGTTAATTGCTTCTTTGCTGACGGAAGTGAATTCTGCAGGGAAATGGGTATTTTTTTCCCTCTTTCTTGCACTGTGTACACAGGATTGTCTCTCTCGGTGAAGAGAAATGAGAGAGATTTTAGTTCCCAGTACGTGGTGGAGACTAATCTGCTAGAATGGCAGGCACCCCGACCGTTCTGCCGGCTCCTGGTGGGAATATTCCTTTCCATCAGATCTCAAGTTTGACCCTGACTCCTCTTTATTTTATAATGTCTTGCACTCTTCCCAAAAGGTTCAAATGTACTAGGAGTCTGATCCAAAGCCCATGGCAAGACTCCCATTGACTCCAGTGGCCTTTGGATCAGCTCTATATATTTTTGTGTAGTGTTGATATGTGTGGTTAAACAGCTGTTGTGTTCCACCCCAGAGGTGACTTTTTCTGAGGGGGGCTGTGTTTATATTTATATATTCTCTCTAATCCATCTTCTCTCCCACCATGGAAGTACTGTCACAGCCAGGCTAGAACATGACAGCTGTTTAACCCCGTGCCCACCAATGCTACACAACAGGGTGCCAATTCAGATACTACTTGGGATATTTCTCACTTACCCACACAATGCATGAGCTGGTGCTGCCAGGAGTCGAGATCTGGGTGCACTCCCCTGTGCTCTGCCATGCAGGAACAGACTCCCCACGCACCAGGTCACAGCACCATTTCGTCTGGCTGCCTCTCTTTCTGGATGGAGGGACGGCTAGGTCACATTTCAGCGGTGGTGTGAATACTGAGCTGGAGCAATGCTTGGGACAATGCTGCCCTGGCCTCTCTCATTTCTAAACTGCATGCCAAGTGCATTGCCCTGGAGACTGCATTGCCAGTTCTGGGAACCAAGTGTTAGCACCGTCCTAAAGGGGGGCAGACGTGGGGTGAGGGGATTAAAAAGGGATTGATGTTATAGGCAGTGGAGGAACAGAATGCATCTCTCAGAGAGAGAAGTGGTGGTAATGTTGCTTTTTTAACTCTCACCATCACAGTGCCAACTCTACAGTGATGCTACTGTGGTTCGCTCTTCATTTTTGAAACCACAGTTCCAATTGCTTATAGCCTTCTCGAGATCACTGACTCAGGTTGAAAATCCTCATTCTTTGTCTCAGGCTGGCGTTTGTGTGTGTATGGGGGTAGTTTGAAGACCACCATTCAGCCGTCTTTGAGGATGGAACATGGTGCCTTATGGTTGCAGTTTTTATGACATACGGTATGTCAGGAAATTCAAATGGATAGGTTCCACGGCCAGAGTACTCAGCCCTGACACATGCTTGCCAGAAGGTGTTATATTTTTACACCAGGTGCAGGAATGGTAAATGGTCTCTGCATTGATAGGGTCAGATTGCCATTGGGGTAAATTAAGTGCGACTCCTTTTGAACTCAGTTGCTCTACCCCAGTTTAAACCAGCTGAGGATCTGGTCCACAATTCCCTGTTTACCGTAGTATTTAGGCACCTAGGGCGATGCATAGACACACACAGGAGCTGGTGCCTTCTAAAAATGGTGTATGCACAGATTCTCAGCTGGTGTTTGTCAGCATAGAAGCCAGTGGAGTCGTACTGACATACACCAGCGGAGGTGCTGGCCCTTTGCCTAGTGTGCAGGTGGTAGTGGGTGGAATCTACTTGTTCTGATGATGCTGATAGAACATGGAGTGTTTGTTTGAAGTTCACCTTTAATTGCACACAACCCTGCCTGACTCCTGAGTGACTGAAAGGGGTGAGGATCTTGCTTCTTGGGCTGTTGTACAATCAGAGGCTTGCTGAATAGCTCTCCCAAGTATTCAGAGCCCTCAATCCAGCCGTGAGGGATAATTGTCCTAGGAAAACACCCACTTCCTCACTGAGTCTCTTAAAACACCTCAACGAAGGGGAGAAAAGGTCCATGTGGACCCAGACTCTCTGCAGGTGACTGTCTAATAATTCAGCGACTCATTGATCATCCTGTACCCAGGGGGCTTTGAGATGGAAACTCGGTGAGAAATTCCTTCCTTTGTTCTCAAGGGAGGAATCTATCTTTAGTCATTGATAATCTTCACTGTGGCCTTATGCCCATAATCCCCTCCCCTGACGTCCTCCCCCCGGAGCAGATGTGAAGTAGAGAAATCTGAACAGCTGACATGCAGGGGGATTAGTTGCGGGTAGCAGCCTGACTAGCAATCCCGTCACATCACTGGATAGGTGAATTTAGCCTTGAGGGAGCTTTAAAGGGGTGGGGGGGAATGTTGCTGAGGAGAGGGGAGTGAGGCTATTTCTCATGCCACCTGATTCTTCCCTGTGGCAGGAGATGTTGACCACTCACTGAATCTCTGAGCCGCTGCTAAGGGCACTGTATTGTGTTTGAGGTGGTGGTGCGGAAACAGTGTGACACTTCCATGAGCTCATTTATAGCCTGGGCTCGAAGGATGCTTTCAAAATGTTATTTGTTAGTGTAAATCCAGCATCGCTCCACTTAAACTGGTGGAGTTGTGCTGAGTTTGCACCATCTGAGGGTCTGGCCCATTAAGGTCAATATGTGACATAGAGATCTGTTGGCGAAGGTTCCCCTGTTCTTTGCAAACAGCTGTAACCTAAGACCTGACAGACTCACCACAAACACATCTCATGGGCTATTATCCATAAAGAGTAGCATGTAAGGTATCTCAAAACTCATAATCGTTGCGAGATGTATGCACAGATAATGTTTAAGGAACAATGTATATTGGGAATATTGAAAGTGCGCTGTCTGGGCTTGGAGCAGAAATTAGTCACCAGGAGATAATGTGTCTTGGTGATGACCCATTCACTGAAGAAAATCCCTGGCTGGGATGGGGGGTGCTTTCATGAACTTTTGGATGCTGGTTCTTGAGAAACCAGCCAGCTCTGCAATAGACTAAACTTTGGGAGGAAATCTACTTTATTAGATAGGAAAGGTAACAATTGATAAGTGTAGACCCAGGTTTGTGTGTGTTTACTTTTTGTTTGTAACTACTTGTTTCCAGCACTCTTGTTTCTATTTAAATTTTTATTTGTTCATAAATAAACCTTCTTTTGTTTTATTATAAATACTCACAAGTGCTGGGTGGTTTAAGGTTAAACTGGTAAACTGGGGTACATTGCACCTTTGGGTACAGGGGGTCTGGGATTTATGTGAGTAGCCAGTGTCAGGGGTGGGGATATCACAGGGGAACAATTCAAAGGGACTTGGAGATTGGGGTGCACCTCTTGTTAATCTGCAAGGTGAAGGAAGGGCTGGCATAGCCCAGAGGAGAGAGCTTGAGTGACTGAGGGACTGGCAGTGTCAAGGTGCTGCCCCAAGAAAGGACTCCCTCTTGCTGATGGGAGGGGTAACAAGGTGACTCTCGGCCCTGGGTGCCCTGAAAATGTTACACAATGTTTTATACATCTTATTGCTTGTAAGACTCTCTTAGAGGCTTTAAAATAAACCTGATTTCCCACCCCCACTCCCCAATCGCTTACTGATGTGTTTTGTTCTTATTCTACTTGGAAACTGTTCAGGGTCCTCCCATCTTTTGTAGAGAGCTGCTGTTAACCCTCAAAACACAGTATTGGCCCAAAACACAACAGCTGTTGTTAGTGTTTGGGTCAATGCAGTGGGGTATTGTTATGGTTTTGTTAAAAAGGCGAATGGGGTTGTATTTATATAAATGCAGCCATACGTCTTGCTAACCCAAATTGACTTTGTGTCTGTATCATCAGTGGTATCGGTACCACCTTGGAATAGTGTGTCAGTGAAATATTGCCACAGAGCCATTAGGAGGAGCAAAAACATTGCTTTAGAGTAGGTCCTACTAAAAAATAGCGTTTTGGCTGTTTATTTTTCAGCATGGTAGATTTTTATAGTAAATATTTAGGATACTGAGGACTCTTATCAGATTATTATATAACTTTTTTTTAAGGTAGGACAAATTTGGGGATAACACCTTGACACTGAGTCTCTTGTAAGTGTAGACAACCCCTTAAAACGCTACAGCTGCACCACTATAGTGCTTCAGTGTAGACACTACCTGTGCTGACGGGATGGAGTCTCCCATCGGTGTAGGTAATCCAGCTGCCTGAGAAGTGGTAGCTAGGTCGACGGAAGAATTCTTCCATTGACCGAATGCTGTCTACATGGGGATTTAGGTCAGCTTGACAATGCTGCTCTCACTCCTGAGCGAAGTAGTTAGACCAGCCCTAAGTGAGGGTGCCTGGCTATAGCAGTCAACAAAAAACTCTGGCTGATTGTCTTAGAAAACTTTTTGACAGTGATCTTGGGTGCCCATCTTTGGTGCCTTAAGGAGACCTGGTTCTCAAAGGGCTGGTGCTCAGCACTTTCTGCATATTCGGCCTCAGTAAGGTGTATTAAGTTGAACATCCCAACTCAGCAGTTCCTTTTTGAAGTCTTGACTCTGTTGTTTTGTGGGGTTCTGGCTTTTTGGAGGAGGTGAAGGAGAACATATTCCTGGTGGCTGACCTCTGCAGCTGCAGGCCGTTAAAGAGTAATGGCCCTGTGGTAACTTCTGGTACTTGTGACTTTCCTGGGAGCTCAGTGTATGGGGGAGCTGTGAGCTCCCCTGCTCCAGAGCAGATTATGCTGGACCAAAACACCCAGCCTTTGACACCAGCTGGCTCATTGTGCCCAGTACAGACTACCTCCACTTTGCGTCCCAGCCGGTGGTACCTGTGCATCAATGCTGTGGCCCAGGACCGTCTGTCCTGTAATTCCATCATGGTGGGGATGGAGCCTTGCACGGAGAGCGGGCGTCTCTCTGAGGGAACCCAACTGTCGGTGTTGTTCCAGGGGCATGTTACTCTGAGCCAGATCTTCTGACTGAATCTCTCTCTTGCTGGGCAGGAAGAAGCTGACGCTGCTGAAGGAGATGCTGGCCGGCTGCGGGGCGGGCACCTGCCAGGTGATTGTCACCACTCCCATGGAGATGCTCAAAATCCAGCTGCAGGATGCAGGCCGAATTGGTACCTTGCACATCTCTTCTCTCCTTGTACAACAGGCGGGCAGTGGGGGTGGGGAGAGTGAGACTGTGGGAGAAGGGGAGGGAATGAGTATAGAGGTCACATTTCCCTTCCGCAGAGGGGTCTTAAGCTGTAGCAGAGCTTTCCCCATGCTCTTCCCTGCGGGCTTTATTCGCTGGCCTCTTAGAGCCCCCTCTAGTGGCACGAGGAAGCACTTTTCACTACCTGTGCTTGTCATGGGAGGGGATAGGCAGGCTGCCGTGCATGCTGTAGAGGATGATCGCATTCAGCGCACAAATTATTAAACTCATCAGTTAATGCCACAGGAGAAGGGTTTAACTTCCCCTTGTGCTTGTCCTGTGATACTTCCCCTCGATGTGTTATCCCCTCCTCCCCCAGCCTGTCACAAGTGGCTTGTTGCCTGTAAAAGTCCCGTAGTGCAGTTCATCTGGTGTGTGGTTTTTTTTTTTGTTTTTTTTTTTTTTTAGTGAGGGATTGAGAACAAGAGTCAATCAGCTTCTTTTGAACAGTGACTGAAGCTCCCCATGTGGGGTATGCTGCTCTTGGGGGGGAGGGAGGGACCATTTCAGTCCTGCTCTTCCTGTGGGACTCTGTGTCATTGTCCCGTATCCTCCTTGCCTCTCTGGGTACCGGTTTCCTCTCTGATCTCGGAGCGGAGTCTCTGACTCACGAGGTTGAGAGGAAATTGCAGACTCTCCCTCGTCAGAGTGAAAGGAGAGCTCTGGTTCAGGGCTAGAGCGTGCGTAATCAACTCTCACAGAAAGGGACAAACAAAGGCACACGTAGCCAGAGAATGGAATTCAATTTCAGCTTGGTCTCTAGTAGAGAAGCATGGTATCATCTGGCACCTTTGGTGTTCTTTGCTCAGGAGAGGCCTAGAGCTAGAATAGCAAAGGGTGCTGCAGGTAAAGGTCGAGGTTCATAGGCAGAACTGTGTAGGAACCCAGAAGTGGGGTAGCAAGTGGTGTTGCAGGTCAGGACTGGGGTGCATTGGCAGAGCTGCAGGGAGGGGAAAGAGGGGATCATGAGTACAAACCAGGGTAGTGTCAGTTCTGAGATTCGTGGGCAGCGCTGGGGACGGGGAAGGGAGTTAAGACTACGTAGAAGTCCTGTTGCAACCCACGTGAGACGTGTTGACAGAGCTGTTAGTTATGCACCAGCTGTCCACCATGGGCTGGCACTAGTGTCTTCACAGAAATAATGTAAATAGAATTATAATTACTTAGAACAACAGAATCTGTGGAGAGAAGTGTTGCTAAAACCTAAATCTCTTCTGGAGTCCCACCAGAGATGCTGCTTAGGTCCTAAAATCCCCTAGACGATGCCCATCAGGTAGAGTGTTAATGGTGCTACTCAGCTAACCCACAGTGGCTGCCACGCATTGTCCCATCAGGAAGTATTTCCGGCTCCAGGCCGCAGCCAGCTTAGATCAGGATTCTTCCAGCTTGGCATCCATATTACCTGTAGGGTTGCGTTCTGCAAAGCAGCTAAATTGTCATACCCAGTGTCCCAGGGGAGACTGTATGCCCAGTGTGATGTGTACATAACAACTGCACATCCAGGGACTTTCCTCTGTGGAGGTACCATTATGATTACACATGGTAACATCACACCCTAATTGTGGGACCCCATAACCCAAACACCCCATGAGACCAGAGAGTTAGTTTCTTTTCCTTTTCCTCCCCAAGAACCTTCCCTTGCCAATTTTAATGCAAACCTTGCTCTGTGGGGCATGTGGGTGTAAACTGTTTACAGGGGGTTTGGAAAAGATTACCACTACTGTGAACAGTCAAGGCCTATTCTCTGCCTTGCGAAGGAGAGTGTATGTATGGGAGCTGCAGAATGGCCCAGGGATTGACATGTGCTCCATCTACTGACCAAATGGTGGTAGTGCATTAGGGTTTAAAAGATAATGGGAGATAGGTAGCATAGTGCATAGATCTAGGGTACTTTATTTCAGGGCGCTCTTCAGTTTTATTTTAATGTGATTGTTTAAGGGAAGGTATTAGGAATGAGCCTTTCTTATTTTTAGGGTGCTTTGGTGGCCTTTCCCCTCTGAAGACCTGTCTCCCAATAGGGTTTAAAGTCCCTGTTGCATTGATCTCTTGTACTCGGCCTAGTCTATAGCAGTCAGTTCTCCACACCACGCAAGCCTTGCATGATTGACCGTGTCTGCTCAGGAGAGACTCAGGAGTGGAACTGCAGGGGCGATGTTACAGGTCCGGACTGAGGGGTGGTGGCAGAGCTGGGTTTGAGCCCAGGACTGAGGCATGCTGCAGGGCAGAGGGGAGGGAGCTTGCAGGGTACATGGCTGGCTTTAGCCAGTGCTGTTAGTCCCTCCCTCTCACCAGTATCCAGTTTACACCACAGACATCTTCCTTTCTGAAATGGCCAAGTCCCTGTATAGCCTTGGCACTGGTGCTGTGCAATAATCGAAAGTTGTGGGGTTTTTTTCATAGCATGTGTTTATAAATAACTGTCACTCCCATGCAGAGGCCCAGAAGAAGCTAATGGCAGCACAAGCCCAGCTCTCCTCTACCACTAGTGCTGGGGCAGCGGAATCGGTAGTGGAGACACGGACCACGGCGACGCAAATCACCAGGGAACTACTTCGGAGCAAAGGCATCGCGGGGCTTTACAAGGGCCTTGGGGCCACGCTGCTAAGGTAGGGTTGTGCTTGCTGAAACTCGGAGCACCCTGAAGTAATCCTCCCAAACCCTGCTCCTTGCAATGGTGCTGCTGCTGCATTTGGGACTGTTTACTGGACAACTCTATTATCATCTGGGTCACTAACAAAAATGTGTGTATGAAGCACCTAATTCTCCTCTCCCATAGATCAGTGTGGTGCTGGAGTTCCCCTGGTGTAGAAATGGAGTACATGAGTGGAGAGTAAGGCCCCTAGTGCTTTTGTGTTGGGCACAGAGAAAGAATGAGAATTCTTGGTAACTTGCCTTCCTTCTAGTCTACATAGGTTCTTATACCACACTGATCACTGTAGTTGTGCATGAAGAGATGTGACCGATATCAGTCACATGTTGTTAGTTCTCTCATCCTCTGCTCTTGGGAAAATGTGTGCAGTAGAGTGTCTTGTTTTGATAGGGTGGTCTTTGCTTTGTTAATACACATGTGGCTCTGTATTCATGTTAGAGAAGGCAGGTCATAAGAAATGCACCTTGCTCTTGGAGTGGAAGTTGGTGAACCTTGTGATGGTCCTTAGTGCCTGGGGGAGTTCGTGCCACAATCTCGGATCAGCCCCTGGGAAAGTTCAGTCTCCCATGCAGGCAAGCTTTCCCCTTATTGTAGAGACTGCCATTGGGCCAAGTCTTCCCCCCGGAGCCTTAGGTGATCTTTTGGCTATCCTGGGCCCCATCCATGGAGTGCCTTGAAGATAAGGACGCAGACCTTGAGCTTGATTTGATCCGTAGGAAGCCAGTGTCGAGAGTGGCTCTGACATAGTCACCTGAGAAGATAAAAGCTGACTCACTAATTATTGGTGGTAACACCCAATGGGACTGACGGAGGAGGAGGGACTTTTAACTCTTTTAAAAAATTAGAACTCTGGACATGCTGGGCCAGATCCTCATCTGGAGTAAATCGGCAAAGCTCCCTTGGCTCCGGCAGAGCTGTGCTGCATTATACCTGCTGAGGAACTGCCCTCTGACTCTTCTCTGGGATATAGACACTGCAGAGGGAATGTCTTTCTCAAACCCCCTCGCACGTCATTCCAGTAGCTGGGAAAGAGGCCTGGCCTGGAACCATTGTTGACCTTGAAGCTCCCAGCCCTTCCTGCCGTGACTGGCTGCTTGGGCTGGGGGTGCGGCTTTGCTGATCACTCTTCTCCCCATCCCTCCATTACAGAGATGTCCCGTTTTCCATCGTTTACTTCCCGTTGTTTGCGAACCTGAACAAGCTGGGCCAGAAGAGCCCTGACATCAAGGCCCCATTCTACGTGTCCTTCCTGTCCGGGTGCCTGGCGGGCAGCACGGCAGCAGTGGCTGTGAATCCGTGTGATGGTGAGTCCTGAGCGGGGGGAGACGCTGGCAGCCTAAGGGTGGCGACGAGGAGTTTCACGGACACCCGGTCACGGAGCTCCCGGCCCCTCATGGGCAGTGGTTACGATGGATCGAGTGAGGAGGAGGAACTCGCCACTTATGGTGGCTGTGTTGCCATGACGTTGGCATCAAACGTTGAAGTGGCCCTGTGCCCCCTTGTATGATGAGATGTGGCAGGGGGAACAGGGTGAAGGACTCAAAGGGAGTCCATGTCCCCAAGCGGCCCTGGAATCAGCCAAGCACTGGGGGAGTGGGGAAGGAGATGGCTTGTGTGTTAGGAGGACATCCCTTATGCCCCCACCTCACCCACACACCCTTCTATGTAGTACCAGGAGAAGAGAGAGCACTGACAGTGCCGTTCTGTCTAGGGGAGGGGAAGTGGCAGGGTCTCCCTTTGCTCCCCACAGAGAGGTGGGAGAACTGGAGGCTCTTTGTTCCTCTGGTGGTCTGAAGGAACTACCATGCCAGATTTGGAAGAATCCTTATGTCCCCAACCTGGAAAGAGGCATAAGAGTACTCCTGGGGGAATTCTGCGTCACTGTGTGTGTGCAGAATTCAGGCCCCCCGCAGATTTCTTTGCTTCCCCACAGAAAAATGACTTTCGGACAGGGAAGCTACAAGAGCAGTCACGCACCACTCCCTAGCTGCGCAGGTACGTCATTTCAGGCACCTGGAGCAGCTGGTGGAGAGGTAAATCACTGCAGGGCTGGGGACACCCCGGCCAGTGGCTCCTACCCTGAGCTGGGATCAGCTGCTAGTCTGGGCTGGGCTGGAGGCAGGAGAGGATGGGACTTCCTCTTCCCCTGCAAGGAGTGGCTGGTGCTGTGTCAGACCCATCCCAGAAACTTCCCCCAGCTGCAGGAAGCTCTGCATCCTCCCCTGCTTCCTGTCCCCATCGCTGCTCAGCTGCAGTGGGAGGGGTCACTGTACAGGGAGCTGCTCCCCCATTTGCCCAACCCCCATGCATCAAGACCTCCCAGACACCCCTGCCAAGTCTCGCCCTGTACACCCAGAACCCCCCTAGTCCTCCATACCCAAACCCTACCCCACTGAACCTCAACCCCTGCATCTGGAGCCCCCTGCACCCAGACCACCCCCCACTGAGCTCCCTACACTCAAACCCCCACCCTGATGAGTACCACCCCCTGCACCACCCTGAGTCCCCACATCCAGACCCCCAACTAGCTCCATCCAGACCCCCACCAAGCCCCACTTCCCCAGCACTCAGACCCCCCTGCTGAGACCCCCAGCACCCAGACCTCTCTGCTGAGCCCCAACCACTTTCACCTGGAACCCCCACAACGAGCCTCTGCATCCAGATCCTTCACACACACCTAGACACCCCCCGCCCCACTGAGCTGCCTGCACCCAGATTGTCCCACACAGAATCCTCTCACCCCCTCCCTGGCCCCCCCCCCCCCCACTGAACCCCTCCACATTTGGTTCCTGCCTGGTTGAGCCTGTCTGCCCCACACCTGGTGCAGAGGGGCAGGGCCCTAGGGTGTTTCTGGCAGAGGCCCAGGCCTTGTGCTGTGTCAGGGTCGGGTGCAGCCTCACCACTGAGTCCATGTCCCATGGGTGGAGGGTGGGGAGGCTGCAGGGTGATCTCACTTTCCTTTTCCTGCAGCCAGTGACCTGTGCTGCACACTGCCATGCTGGAGCCTCTGCATTTATTTATTTATTGACAAATAAAGCTTGTAGAATTTTAAAGTATTGTGCGCAGAATTTTTAATTCTTTGCCCCTCAGGAGTATAAGGAGGAGATCTCTGGGGTCCGAGCTCTTCTTCTCCCTCCCTCCCCCCCCCAGCTCAGGAGAGAGAGCTTGCCCACTGCGTCCAGCTGAGAAGGAGCGGAGCTTTCCCTTTACTTCACCCCCTGCTCATGGGAGTGCTTGCTGTCTGTGGTGTGTTCGTTAGTTAAACCGGATGGAGGGGGGACTCTTGGTGTGGAGGATCAGAAGTGGCCATTATCACGTCTCTGTGATAGACGTGTTTCTGTGTAGAAACCATCATGTGTGTGCGTGCACATGGCACGCGCCTTTGTGTATTCAGGCTTATGTACATCCAATGTGAGCACCTGGGAAGCCATTACCTTATTGTCTATTAGACTGTGCATGCCTTCCAATAACACCGCTTGGTCTGGCCTTTGTCTGCAGGGCTGACCTGTGAGAAACGATAGGAAGTCGTTTTCCCTCCCATAATCCTATATTACCAAGTTTTTAAAAGTTGAAAGGGATTTTTTTTTTTTTTTGTTGTTGTTGGTTGGTTTGTTTGTTTTTGGTGCCTCAGTTTTTTGGGGTGCCCAACTGCACACTGGGCTGACTTCCAGAAAGTGCTGGGCCTTTGAAAATCCGGCTCCTTAAGAGGTCTGGACACCCATAAATCAGAGTCAGTTTGGAAAATCTTGTTCTTTGTGTTTTGTGGGGGGGATTTTTAAATCCATTTGTAAAGGAACAGTTAAGGTTTTCTGATATTCTGATTAATCTCATCTGTGATCATAATCCCAGTAATCTCAATTTGGCTTTGCTAGGCCCTAAATGATCACTCTTGGCTACTAAAGAGCTATGCAGCAGTGTGTAAAGCACCCGGCAGAAGCTTCGGGGGAAAGAACCAGAGGTAGCCCATGGCCTGTATGAATAGGGTTCTTAAAGCTTCTTTTCTCCTTCTCTCTGTACTCAGTAATCAAGACAAGGCTGCAGTCCTTGAAAAGGGGAGTGAATGAGGACACATACTCAGGAATCCTAGACTGCACCAGGTAAAAGGTCTCCTCAGTGGTTACCAGATGATCCGGTTGCAATGCCTCTGTTCTAGGCATCTTCCATTGCCTGCTTCTTGGCAATGGGAGGGAGTTGCAGCACCAAGGGCTTCTTTTTTTTTTTTTTTTTTTTTAATTGTTTTATCTGAATGCCTAAAAGGGTTTTATCCTGTCCTTGGGGAAGGCTAATAGGGCAGGTGTCCCCTTTTACCAGAAAACCCCAACCACCTCCTTCCCTGAAAAGCAATAACCTCAAAAACAAATACACAGCCCCAAGCAGAAAAGAGAGAAGAACCAGAGACTCTGTGGAGTTGACTGGGGTATTGCTATTGCTGTTGGTTTTAACATGAGAAAGTGCCCAGATCCTAGGGTGGGCAGCACTATCTTAGGGGTTTTATAGATAAGGGTGAGATCTGCAGCAACTACACTTTCTCTGTGATCCTGCCTTATAGGAACTCCTGTACATTGCAGGCTACAGAACCTCACCCACCCACTCCTGTAATAGACTTAAAACCTCTGGCTGAGTTACTGCAGTCCTCAACTCCTGGTTTAAAGACTTCAAGTAACAGAGAATTCACCACTTATGCTAGTTTAAACCTGCAAGTGACCCATGCCCCACGCTGCAGAGGAAGGCAAACACCCTCTTTCCCCCCCCCCCCCCCCCCGAAGGTCTCTGCCAGTCTGACCCGGGGAAAATTCCCTCCCGACCCCACATATGGCGATCAGTTGGACTCTGAGCATCCTGATTCTGGTGACAGACAATAAATTACTTTGGGAAATATTTGTGTTCGCACAAGTTGCTATTATGGGCAATGGGTGGGATCAACTCATGCTGAATCTCACGTGTGTCTCTGTCCCTCTGTAGGAAAATCTGGCAGAAGGAAGGGCCCCTGGCCTTCCTGAAGGGGGCGTACTGCAGAGCCTTGGTCATTGCCCCACTCTTCGGCATCGCACAAGTCATCTATTTCATAGGCATCGCGGAATTCTTCCTAGACATGCTTCCGAAGCGCCGGGATTAACCCTCGCGCGCACTCGCTGCTGGTCAGAATTCATCCAGCATTCGTCGTTGATGGTGTCCGAGCAACAGCACAAAGGGTTAAAGCAGCAACCTCGAGGGTGAAGGTCGTCTCCAAACAAAAAGTCCCTTCCACCTCTCGATATGCCCCCACCCCATCCAGCCCTCCAGGACAATACTTAATTATGCATATCTATTATTTTTAATTGTCATTCTTAAAGACACTGGTTAGCACAGACTGGGCTCACAGACCCCGGACCTTCTCCCAGCAGTGTGGGGGGGGGGGAAGAAACCGACCACACCCTTTGAATTACCAGATAGTCAAGAAAGGAGCAAAAGAACCAGACTTTGTTCCCCCAGTCCCTCTTCTGGTGTGCCAGGCTTCTGGGAAGACAAGGCCCCAGCACACCTTCTAAAAGGTATTGTCAATAGAGGAAGCAGGTAGATGCCAGAATCAAAAAGTTTCTTTATAAGGACTTGTCCTGAAACCCCCCTAAAATCAGCTGGACTTGGATGAACTTCTTGGAGATCAGAGGAGTGGGAAGGTGTTTTTGTTTGTTTATTTGTTTTATTTTATTTTAATCAAAGGAACTTCCCTCCTAAATAGGGGCCATGGGGCCTTTGGGGGGGAGATGTATGCTGCACGTATTTGCAACGCATCTGCTCTGAAAGAGGATGTCCGTGGGATCGTGTGTGAATGGCTTCAGGTGCATCAGTGTTTAGCTACGAGCTACAGGCGGGAGAGGGGAGAATGTCATGACATGGGATCAACTTTTTATTTATACAGGGAAAAACAAATCCAATTACATTCCTTAAATCAGCCCAGCTCTGATGTGTCAAGCAGTTACTCTACCCAGAGTACTGGCTGTGTGTCTTTTGGCCTGTCTCTAAGATGCGTTCCTCTCCTTTCCTGTGGTTGTTTGCACTCGCAAAGGGTCACTTAAAAAGATGGTCTCAGAGTCAGGCCTTTTGGTTAAAGATCAGGATAGGCCAGATCCTCCGCTGGTTTAAATGGTCGTAGATCCTTTGACGTCCATGAGCTCTATTGAAATCAGCGGGACTATGATAGTTTACACCAACTGAGGATCTGGCTCAATGTCCTTGGGGATTGAGTTGCCAACTTCTTTATCCAGACCAAAATTGGGTTGTGGAAAAGAAATGAGGCCAGGGCATCTGTTTTATTTCCACAGGGACCTAATTCCATATGATTTGCCTCTCAAAGGCCAGGTCTGGTTTTGCTATGATGTTTTCTCTGAAGTACATACAGAGGCAGTATGACTCCAGTTGGATCCACGCCGGCACAAGAGCCTGCCTGTGTGTGTCCAGTTGTGGGATTGAGGACGATAGCCAGACTTACTGCTCACTTTGAGGAGGTGGTCATTGACTGGATAACAGGCTGGCAACCCTAGACATGTGCAAATTCTGTTAAAGGGACACTAATGTTTTAAAAAACCCCAAACCTTTTCTTTATCTATATTCACAATATCACTTTGAATTGTCACAAGGGAAAGAACTGAAAATCTGGTTTGCTTTATTACTGCACTTCATTCCATTTCAACATGTAAACTAAACTAGTCAGTTTCACTTTCTGCTTCCCCATCACTAGCATCATGGTGCTGTTTGTGTTTCAGACACAGCAGATGAAGAATAATTAAAAAAAACAGTTGAAATCGCTATGTATTTCAACACTCTTTTTCTTTGTAAAACCTAAATTGGAGGCCAATTGTCCTGATCATGTACCTTTTAATGTAGAGGAGGTTGTTACACAGCTAAGTTCTCACTTTTGCCTGTGTGAGACATAAAAAATGACTATCTATGTAGAGAAGGGAATCTGCATAGATGACCTCTCTATTCATAACAATCTTTTGTGATCAGTACGATGATGCTTGTGTCGCTCTGGATTTTTCTGAGTTGCACTTAAAGAAAAGCTTTTCTTTTTCTTCCATAGGGTGACTCTTCTCCTGCTTTATGATATATAATGAAGGCCTGAAAGGTGTAGGAAGTTTTTGTTGTGTTTTTTTTTTTTTTTAAGGATTTTTTTTTTTTTCTGCTTGATTTTTGCGTGCAAGGTTCAGATCCCCATCTAGTCTGGAAGAGTGATGGTAGGAGAATTAGTGAAATGGTGGTGTCCCACGAGAGTGAAAGTTGGACAGTTGATAAGAGGGGATTTCTAGTCACTAGTTCAAACTTTTTTCTTTGTGTTAACCTCTATTTAATGTTAACGACTAACTTACATTTTGGAGAAAGGAAGGTTTTGTTTAACCCCGTCAGTTATGGTATGAGAGCACAGACTAACATCCCACTCGCTTCCCAGATGTCATCCAGCAAGACCAGGGAAACCCAAGAGCTGAAATTCCTTATATTTAAAAGGTAAAGAGCAAGTGACCTTCTCCTCCTCTTTAAAACCAGGCCTTCTCTATACATCACAAAGAATCCAAAAGGAACACCAGCCTCGTTTTTTGAACAGTCCTTTGCATTTCTTGACAAAATTTTAATGTTCCAATAGTGATTTCCCCCCGCTGCCAATATATTATTGTGTATGAGACTTACAATTTGGGGTTAAAAATACATTGCCAGTAAACGTTTGTCAGAAAGAAATGAAGAGCTCCGTGGCAAATACAGGTTTGAAGCAGCCTCTCCCCCTAAGATATGCTGCTCTTATTATGGATATCTGTGCTCCCAGCTGTCTGCTTTGCTCCCATTTGGGTTCACACTGCGATGTGGACCAGTAATGTTGTTGCCATGGTTATTGGGCACGGAAAAGGGCCTGGAAAATGCTGCTTTATGGCCTCCGACAAAATCCATGGAAATATCCCTTTCTCTCTTTCTCTTCCCCCCCCCCCCCCCGGTTTTTTATTTTTAAATTTCAGCAGAATGATTGCACACAGTGAGCCCTGTGCGGTATGTCAGCACGGGGCCTTTGTGACCTGAAGTTCTTGGTGCTGACGAACTCGCACTGCTCCAGCCTAGTGATGAGTCATCTTTAGTGCCTAGAGACTTCAGAATTTTACAGGTCCGTCCTTTAAATCAGGAGCAATTGCATCTGCCTGAGACCTGGAATTTCAAAGGGGGGGCCCCTGGCTTTGCTGCAGTAACTGTTTCTAGCTGGTGACCCTGCAACCTGTCAAGTCAGAAACTCTTATGTTAGCATTTAATAAACCCCTCCTCCCCCCCCCCCCCCCCCCCCCCAGCCCTGTCCCTTCCTGGCAGGGCTGCCTGGTGCCACCCATGAATGCTGCAGGTGCCTCTGTTTGTTCTGATAATTCCAGCTGTGGAGGGGAGTGGTCAGTGTTGGTATTGGCAGCTGTAGCCCATTGATTACAGTGGAATCAGCTGCACTGGTGTAGATCATGTGTATGCTAGGGCTTGGCAGCAGTGGTTAATATCCCCATGTGAACAAGGCCTTAGTGCAGCTCTAGAGACCAAACTGTAGAAGTTTCCATTTAACAGAAGCGTGACTCCCTGTTAGTTCCGTACACCCTGCCCCACCCCCTTCACACTGGGCATTACCAAAAGGGCCAGCACTTCCTTGCAGGTGGTGTAGCTAGGGCCATTGGGGAACTGCAGTGCTCAATGACTAGCTAACACCCTGTGGTCACCTTGCCAAGCCCAAGTGCAGAACCCACCCCTGTTAAGGGCCTGAGTCTGGATTAATAGCAGGCAGGAGTGCAGCTCCCATCCCTGCAAAACTTTGCCTGAAGGAGGCGAGCAGGATCAGGGTAAAGAGTTCAAGGGGAGTCCTGTATCTTCATTCCAGTGTCAGATCGAGTACCACCCTATGACCCAGCAGGGAGCTTGCAGGCCCACGTCTCACAGGGTTTTCAGAACATGCCCAAACCCTCTGGAAGCCAGGAATGTTGGGTTTATACCCAAATCCCCTTTTCACTGGCTTCATGAACCCAGCAAAGCATGTGTCTGGCACCATTGTTGTATGGGTGTGTGCGCTACAGCTTTCAGCAGTGTGTTCTGCCTGTTGGGGAGGGAGAGGCCTGGGGCAGGGTTTGAGACCGGTACAGGGGAGGGGAGACTCTTTAAAATGTATTTAATGCTGTATGTTTAAAAGGACGTGCTCACATCCGTGTTTCCCTGGAGATCGTCTCCTGTCACTCCAGCAGTGGAGGACTAGAATGCAGAAATGCTGATGTTTTTTTCTGCATGAGAAAGAGGCGATCTATTTCCCATGATCCCCCTGACTTTATTTCCTGGTGATTCTGCTGGCAACTGCTGTTCTGGTTGGGAACTTGATTTGAGGTTGCAACACTGGCTGGCTCAGGGGCTCAAACAGAAGCACACTAGTGTGTTGAAGCTGAATGCTCCTAAAGAGATTACCTGTTGCAAGAGGGAGATCAGTGTCTGTGATAATTAGACCTAAAAATTGATTCCTTGGAACAACCTCTTGAAGATTCCAAGGGGGTGTTAAACCTCTGATACTGGTGTTTCTGTGGAATATGCTTGTGCGCGGGCATAGAATGCCCAGCCTGTTACTCTTGTAGGACGTGCCTGCTATTGTCCCTTTCTGATATGATATGCACTTCCAGGTCCATGTGAGCTGCACTGTGAGTCGTCTTTAGTTTGTTTCTTTCCATCTCAGAAACAGGAAGACTAAAATTTTCAGAAGTGACCTCTGATTTTGGCTGCTCGTCCTTGGGTGCCCAACCTCAGGTGCTTTGGGCCTGAGTTTTTTTGGAAGAGCTGAGCACCCCAAATTCTAATTGAAGTCAGTGGTGTTCGGTGCCTCTGGAAATTTGGCTCACGACATCTCAAAGTAGGCACCTAAAATCAGGCTACTTTCGGAAATGTTGGTCCTAAATTTATAACTAATAGACGTGGCTGGGATCCTGACAGCCAAGACTTTGGCTTGGGACCCCATTAACAAAAGCCAGTGTTTAGACCTAGCAGGTTTGAGTATTTCCCTTGCAGAGGTCTCAGAGTAGCTAAGAGGTGGTGTGGGAAACACAGACACAGAAATAATTTAGTCTCTCAAAATGCAGACTCACCTGGACAGAGCTGTAATGAGCATCCTGCAGGCTAAGCTGACTGGTAATTGTGACTCTCCTAGGAGATCTGACACTGTCCTCGCCATTCGGAGTTCCTGGAGTCAGCAGGAAAAGGGTCTCCATAGTAGGAGAAGAGGAAAAGCATGATGTGTGGACCAGTGCTAGTGATCAGCAAGATAACTTTGCGTTTTGAGGTGGTGCTTTGACATGGATTTCTGCTCCCTTTAACTGCCTTGTTGTGGCCCATGATCGAGGGTGCCTGTGGCTTTTTTCCAAATAGCTTTTGGGAGCGCTAGTTGCTGATCACCTAGCTGTGTATGCATGCAGAGCCTCGTGCCCCATGATACTCTACTTCAGGTGTTTTGTTGGAACGGGGACCCATGGATGTCCCAATGTCTGCCCTAAGCCTTGCAGTAGAGGCCAAGGGGTTTGGCCTATCAGGACACAATTACAAAATCCAAAGGCAAACATGAGGGCATTGGCTCCAAAAACCTCTGAGCCAAGATCTGTAGTCCAGATCTATTACCCCTTTGTTCCACTACAGTGACCTTTTGTAGTGCATGCAGCAGTGGGAGTCTGTCAGGCTGCTTTTGCCATCCAGCTCTGCCTGTGGCTGACACCACAAGGGCTGTCTACACTGGAGAAATTGTCTAACCAGTTCAGCTAGACCAACTTTTTTTTATGAAATAGTCAGGAACCATTGCATAGCCCTGGACTGAAGCAGTTAAGGCAGCCTGACCCAGTTAGAAGGCCAAGTGGTCAAGGCTACTGCTCTGATCGGGTTTTAAAACCGATTTAGCTGTACCGACTTGAAAGCAGTTAGCAAATCTGCCCAATGTAGACAGGCCCTTAATGCCAGGCAGTGTAAGATCCTTGCAGTTCAGTGAATCATTGAAGGCCAGAATCCCACGACGTATGGAAAAAAACAAAGCAGAGGTCACAGCATTATAGTGGCTGAATGCTTCAGTTTCCATCAACTGTGGCCACTGCAACAGTCGTAGCTTCATTGTATACAGTTCATCTGCGTGATGTGCCCTGAGCATAGGCATCTTGAACAGATTAGTCTCCTTTGTCAGTAGACTTTTTAGACTAAATGATAGAATCAGGTGAGGTGGTTTGTAACTGACCCCTAAGGGTGAGTGAGTGTGGTGTAGTGGCTAATCACAGGAATGGGAGATGGGAATTCTGGGATCCACCTGGCTCTGCTGCTAATTCAAGTGCCCCAGTGAGATGGGGAAGAATCCTTGCCTACCTTGCAGACATGGTGAGGCTTAATCCATTTGTCTCTTGAGATCATCGGCTGGAAGGTACTACAGAATGCAGCTTATGGGTATTATAAGAAGGGTTGACTGTTCTTCAAATATGAATTGAACTGAGCATTCAGGCCCAATTAAATAATATGGATTCATGTGTCTTGGGGAAACCTGACCGGATGCAAGAAGGATAATGTGATAGCCAGAATGGAGCCATGCTAATTTTACATCAGCTGAGGATCTGGCCTTTACTTTGCAATTAACATGCACAAGGCAGAAATAATTTTTTATTTTATTTTTTTTTTAAATCTGCAATATGTAGCCATTGCTTCTTCTGGATGTACAGATTGTTTGCAATAGGTTCTCTAAGTCACCGTAAAGAGACCAGCTGGGATATTCCACTCTAGCCTGATGTTCACTTGTCCTTAGTCTCGTCCATTCCTAACTAATCAGATGTACAGGGTGTGAAATCTCTTGCATTCCTGCAAAGTTCAGAGAGAGCAGAGCAAACTGTTGACCGGCCTGCAAATAGTGCTGATGCTTTTGGGAACCTCAGGCTGTCTATGGGCTTTTGTAGGACGTGTGTGCTGTTGTCCCCAGTGGACTTTGTGAGGCGTGTGACATGTTAAATTTGTGTTTTGTTGTTGTGCACTCACCAAAAAGAGAGCCATTGGCTTGATTTTTTTTTTTTTTTTTTTTTTTTTAATTTTTTTTTTTTGTTTTGTTTTATCAAAAAGTGGGCCTTTGGTTTTTTTTTTTTTTTTTTTTTTTTTTTTTAAAGCAGCCACATGAGTGCAGGTTAATAACAAACTGAGGCCATGGTACATGGCACGTGAGCAGGAACTGGAAGAGGCACCGAGAAAATTGGAGGGGGGGGCAGTCATGGGGCTTGAATCTGGTGATGGTAGAAAAGGTTTTTTTTGGAGGATGAGGATGGGGATGGCTACAGAAGGATTCTGATGTTCAGTGGCACTTGGTACCTGCCGTTCCCATTAACTCTAAGGTTGAAGGTTCAGCACTAGAGCTGGTCAGAATGGGCTTTTTTCCCCATGGAAAACTGAGACTTTTTAGTCAGGGGGAGGGGGGGAAGGGACAAAATATTTTGGTTTGAAAATGTTGCCATGGTGCCTCATGGGAGTCATAGTTTGAGTGCCTCATGCTCCCATTGTCCTGTAGAGACTGGGCTTCTTGGTATCACTGCATCTCCAATGATACACCAGTCTCTCCTCATGGTAAGGAGAGCTGGGTGCATCATAGGAGCCCTTGGCCAGGGTACATCATGGGAGATTTAGTATGGCTGAAGAGCCTGGCTCACAGAGGAGAAAGGGGACATGAGGAAATCAAACTACAGCTCCATGAGGCACCATGGCAGCATACCCGAACTGAAATGTTTTCTTCTTTGGATGAAATAGTTAGATTTGGGGGCATTTTATTTTATTTTTTACAAAATGATTAAATTTTCCATGGACACTTAGTGAAAAACTTTGTTTGTGTTTGGGGTGTGGGTGGTGGTGGTGTGGTTTTTTTTTTTTTAATGGAAAACTTTTGACCAGCTCT